TTTAAGGAAGAAAAAAAAAAAACCTTTGGCCCCCTCAAAGGGGAAAAAAACCCCCCCTGGCCCCCCCGAAAAAACCCCGGAATACCTTTTTTCCCCGCCATTGAAAGGAAGGGGGGTTTGGTAAATCCCGATAAAAAAAACCTTTTTTTGGAAACCCCCCCCCCCCCCCCCCCCCCCGCACCCGCCCTGTCCTCTTTCCCCCTGCGCGTAAACTCTAACCCCACCCGCCCACCGGAATAAATCAGGAAGGAAAGACACCCACCTCTCCGCACAAGGCGGCCATCTCAGAGGCTGCCCCTCTCGCCGCCCCTACTGGCCCCATCATGGACGGAACAAGCGCCATCGAGGTCAGCATCGCACCAGGTGCCACCGTCCCTTCCTTGCCGTTCGCAACAGCTTCGGCGCCACCGCCGTCTCCAGCAGCACCGCCATCCGATGGGCTTGGGTCCATCCCCAAGAGGTCTAGCACGACCGGAGGAGCTGCTGCTGCCGAACAATAAAATGGGCGCGCGGGCGGGTATAGAGCAAAGCGGCAGCAGAGGAGTCGACCCATAGGTAAGGGACAAAAGGGGGTGGTAGTGATGGGAGGGACTTTTTCCGACGCAATCAACGCTCGCGGTGAAGGATAAGAGAATCGCGGTCCACGGCCTAAAAGAAAAAACATGCACGGCCCTCAACGTAGAAGACATTCCAGTGCCCCAAATCCCGACCCCACACAAGGCTTCATTCTTCCGACTTTGGAATCGCCCCCCGTGTGTCCCCCTCCACTATAATAGCATCTCTCACCCTGGCCGTTAACGGCGCCCTTGCCCTTCATCTCCTTCGCAAGCTTCTCGTCGTCATCGCTACCGCCCCCCGGCGACGACGACCCCCCACCACCACCGGTACCATTCGCGGTCCCCCCTTCCCCGGGCTGGAACGCCTCCCCGCTGTCCTCCGCTTCTTTGGTGATGCTGTACGACACCAGCAAGTGGTACACCGTCGAGGCTCTTTCTTGCACCTGTGGGTGCGGCAGGGGCGCAGGGGGTGGGCGGGTTGATTCGAGACAAATACGCGAGATTCACGACGAGGGAGGGAAGGTGACGGCTGAACCCTTGCTGCGGTAAACAACGAACGCAAGCATCTCAGGAGGAAAGGTGGGGCACTCAAAACGACGAGCGAAAACAAAACTCCTCGGTGTTGGTATACCGTACGCCGAGTGTAAACTTATCGAAAGGTGCGTACACTGGCCCAAGAAAAGATGAGATGACCAACACACAGACGGGATCAACTTTCCGAACCGTGTCCACAACCTCGGCAATCGAGCCCGAGCGGCCACCCTCTTCGATAAACGTAACAGCATGACAACCCATTTCCCCTCCACACGAACCCACGCCACTGCACGCCTCCCTTGTAAAGGGTGAACACGCACCTGACCTGGCACTAATCCTTAGCACTTACGACTCCCACACACACATACTTACACGCCTAAGGACACCGGAAAATACATCAGTTTGGACACCCACCGATCGTTGAGGTTCAAACGCGGCAGAAAAGAAAGCACCGCAGCAGCGGTCAACAACACACCTCCATATGCGGGGACTGCATGAGGGCTCGAAGGCGACCGGGCACCATGTCCAGCGTTCGCCCAAGCTCCCCATCGTCCGGGCACGCCTGGCACATGGCGATTAGCACCTTGAGGGCGTTCTGTACGTAAACCGCCTGCGTGCGGGGCGGGAGCGCGCTGGCCTCTGGCGCGAGTAGCGCCTGCAGAACAAAAAAAAAACAAAGAGGCGAGGGAGGGGGGGGGGGGAGGGGGGGGGGGGGGGGG